TGGCGGAGCGTCTCGGTGGCGGAGCGTCTCGGTGGCGGAGCGTCTCGGTGGCGGAGCGTCTCGTTACAGTTTTCATGGATTGTGCTGCAGGCTGAGGGACAGACGGATGTTTCTGGTTTGTAAAGATCCAAAGGAACCTGAGCTGCAGCTGCGTCTCAGCTTTCAGTGTTCACCGTCAGAGTTTTCAAGTCTGAACTTGGTTAAAGCACGAAGGTCCAAACGGGCCCTGGAGCTGAGTCAGAATCTGACTGATTACTGGTATATTTTAATTTGTACATTAAATATTTAAATTAGTTGTGCGTCACAGCAGCTGCAGATGAAGTCGGATTAAGCTGCTCTCCTGTTTTTAAACCTCCTCCTCTTCGTCAGCTGTGAGCGTCAGCAGCTCTGACATCATCTGAAACCTGGGCGAGAGACATGAGCTCACCGCACAGAGAGAGAGAGAACATGTGGTTCAGTGTCGAAACTTTGCTGTGAGCTCAGGTTTCCAGCTGCTGTTTATCAGATTAAACAGATTTATATATTCTCATGTCGAATAAAACGTTCACAACAACATGACAAAAAAAAGACTGGTGACCAACAGTTAGCATCAATGCTAATTATCATTGAAAATACCAAAGAAAGTTAATGTGATTAGTGTCATGTTGTCACAAATCACATGCTTCACTAACCCAAGAGTCATGTGAGAACTTCAGCTGATATTTGATCATCTTCAGCTGATATTTGATCATCTTCAGCTGATATTTACAGACAGATCATCTTCAAGGTTCAGAGAAAAAACAATAAAAACACACCCAACGTTACTGCAACGCGTTTCTACTACAGGAAGCTACGGCAGCTCTACAGGGACAAACCGTGGCTGCAGAGTTTTACTTTAAATAAATCCATCCATCCATCCATTTTCTTTACCCGTTTATTCCATTTTGGGTCACGGGGGTCGCTGGTGCCCATGTCCAGCAATCACTGTGCGAGGGGCGGGGGACACCCTGGACGGGTCTCCAGTCCATCACAGGGACACATAGAGACAAACGAGACAAACAACCATTCACTCTCTCACTCACACCTAGGGACAATTTAGAGTTACCAATCAGTCTAACATGCATGTTATTGGTCTGTGGGAGGAAACCGGAGTACCCGGAGAAAACCCACGCATGCACGGAGAGAACATGCAAACTCCACCCAGAAAGGCCCCTGGACCGGGATTTGAACCAGGGACCTGCTCGCTGAGAGGCAGCAGCTCTACCAGTTGCGCCACCGTGCTGCCTTTAAATAAATCTAATTTTGATATTTAAAATTAGATTCTGAATCATCAGAAAACAGACGATAACTTTCAGCTGTTAGTAGCTGAGATTTGAATCAGACTACATGTTTGTTCAGCAACATCTGATGCATTTAAGACCAAGGTGAGCCCCTCTGAAGTGGGTACAAGTTGTAAATGAGCATGTTACCTGTTGTAGATAACTCTGAATGGAGGAAACATTTTATTTTGACAGGACCAACAAGCTAACAGCTAGTCTGAGCTAAACTAAGGGTGCATTCACACCAGCCCTGCCTAGTCCGCTTTAATCAAACTCGACTGCACACAGGTCGACTGACTCGGTGCAGTGTGACTGAGAACCACCAGCTGAAAATGTCAACAGATGTTCTGAATATTGATGTTCTGAATATTGATGTTCTGAATATTGATGTTCTGAATATTGATCCCCAATCGAACCGAGTCTACCCGACTGTCAGGTGTGAAAACGACCTGACTGTCCACTTCGATTTCTTTGAAGGATTTTAAACATTCGATAATGTCAATAGAAATATCAAAGCAAATATGTTCTTGTTTTTAGTAATTTACCTGGTCTTATATGGCATATTGATTTGACTGTTTATAACTTTTATTTGATTTAAATGTTTCTGTTGAATTGTTGTGGTCTGTACTTTATGTATTGTTTAAAACAGGTCTCTGTTGAAGACGAGTCCTCGTGACTCAATGAGACTAACCTGAATAAATAAAGGTTGAATGAAAAAGCTTGGCTACAAATGTCTCACTGCCAATTTAAAACTACTTTAACCTCCAGAAATAAAAATAAAGTACAACAATCACGGAGGGTCATGTGAATGCTGTTTTATAAATGGTTGTTTTTCTGGACGTGACCTCTGGATGCCCTGGAGGTGCTACAGCTAGCTGCTGTTTTCCCAGAGAATCGATCCTGTTTTCAAGTGAAACTGATGGTTTTTAAATCCAGATGATCTCATAAACGATCAGTCATAAATCGTCATAAAGACTTTTAAATGCACATCATCTCCTAGTCCTCTCAAAATGAAACTACTTCTTTAAGCTTAGCATGCTAGATATGCATCATTTGTAACTTTTACTTAAAAACACAACTTAAATGATGGAACTATTCCTTTAAGCAGAAATAAACGTATTCATGTCTCCTTTTAATTAGGATTTAAAGTTTATTAATGAGGTTATTAGCCATCATTACTTGTTGCTCATTAATTAGTCGGGTGTAAATAATATTTTCTGCACTTTGTGTCCTTCATCTTAAGATATTTTAAACTGCTGAAAAGAACGTTTCACTCCTGAGAGGAGGAAGTTTAAAGCTAATAAAACATTTGGTCTTTCTGTTTCAACCCAAATCAACGTCTAATTCGACAGACTTGTTGTTTAAAAGACCTAAAAAATAAAATCTATACCTTTTTGTATTTTTCTTAGTGTTCAGTTTTAAACTAAAAAAAACATCAATTCTAAAATTATTTTCATCTATTTATCAAATCATTATAACGTTTGTAGGAAATATTCTATAGAAACTTCAGTCTGAGTTTCAGGAAACATTCGTCCATTCTGACTGTGTTCTGGTTCTGATCCAATGGACGGGGCGTCGGACAGAACATGACTCAGCCCCACCCCCACCCCACCATCCTGCTGCAGTCAGGGTGAAGAAAACAAACACGCCTCAGAGGGGAATTCTGCTCTTCAAACAATTACTCCTCCCAGAACCTTTGTTTCATATCACACTGAACCGTCTGGACTGACCCTGTCTGGATCGAACCAACTGGACCAAAACATCTGAACCAAACCATCTGGACTGACACCGTCTGGACCAAACCATCTGGACTGACCCCGTCTGGACCGAACCATCTGGACTGACCCCGTCTGGCTCGAACCAACTGGACCAAAACATCTGGACCAAGCCATCTGGACTGACCCCGTCTGGATCGAACCAACTGGACCAAACCATCTGGACTGACCCCGTCTGGATCGAACCAACTGGACCAAACCATCTGGACTGACCCCGTCTGGACCGAACCATCTGGACCGGACCCCGTCTGGACTGACCCCGTCTGGATCGAACCAACTGGACCAAAACATCTGGACCAAACCATGTGGACTGACCCCGTCTGGACCAAACCATCTGGACTGACCCCGTCTGGGCTGAACCCGTCTGAACCTGTCTGGTCTGATTCTGACGGGTCACATGTTTCTTATAAAACTGAACTCCAGAAAATTATTTTATGATTCATCTCAAAACTTGTGCTTTTACGCTTGTCTCTTGAGTTTTCAAGTTTAAACATTTCTTTGGACTCTTTTGATGAAATTTATAAAAAAAAAAAAAAAAAAACCAGTTTGGATATTTAAACATTAATGAAAGAGACATTTTAAATTCTGAACATTTAATACAAAAGTTTATTTTTTATTAAAAAATGAGGCTGTGAAGGTGTATTTTTTTTTTCTCCTGTTAAGATATTTCCTATTTAAACTGGTTCTATGGATTTGATCTAGTCAGAACCGGGTCATAATTTCATTATAATCCCATCTCTGGGTTTCCGGATCCGGTGGCCCGCAGCCAGCTCTCGTCTTTAACACTCCCAAGTTAAAGAAAAATCACAGAAGTGTTCCGTTATAAAAAGCGTTTTCATTTAGTTTCTGTTAAATTTATTCACTGAAAGCTTCGGCTTTCTTTAAAGGATGCATATCGCCCGTCGCCTTTCATACCAGAGTTTTAATCTCAGCTCTTTTACCTCGTTAAACGACAGCGTTTTAGCTGTTTTGGTCGAAACTGAAACGTTCTGTGTGTTGAGGATGACTCTCAGCTACTACCACACCCAAACTTCTGTGGAAATGAAAGAATGACTGCTGTATTTGTTTTTGGTGACCTGATGAGCTGTGTCGGCCATCTTGAATCAGGTTGACTCTGGAAGTCATTCAGCTGTAGACTAACATTCTGTGATCACTTCCCAGTGTTTCCCCTACCATTATACAAGTGGGGTGGCCCACCCCGTCAACAGAACTGAGCACCCCGCCTACCAAACCGAACTTGCCCCACACACACACGCACATGGCACTAAGCTAGCGGGGCGAAATACAGGCTCTCTAGCTAAAAAGCTAAAGGCAGCGCTCACATGGCCTCTTCTCTCAAGCTGACCCCCCCCCCCCCCCCACACACACACACACACACATTCAAAAACTGTCTGTAAAAACAGACTACTCAAACGTGTCATGCTAAGCTAGCAGCGGGCAATACAGTTGCTCTAGCTAAAAAGCTAAAGGCGCCTCTTCCCTTATGCTGAACACCCCCCGCTCAAAAACTGTTGGTACAAGCTGCACTCAGACATGTTCCCGTCCCCCCCATCAACAAAAATCATGGATAAGATGAGCACCCCGCCGTGGCAAGTTAACTAGGGGAAACACTGCGCTGTGCTTCATTAAGATCCATCCAGTGGTTCATGAGATATTTTGCTAACTGACAATGCAAACACACTGTAAGACAGGCAATTGCATGATTGCCCGCCTTTCATGGCGGCAGGTGATAATAAAGATTACAAGATGGTCTGACTCCTTGGAAAAAAGAGACAAAAGACTGGATCAGGAGGTTTCACAACAGAATGTCACTTCCTCTTTTCTGGTCTTTTAAGGATGTGGGCGGGGCTTAGTGCATCCGTTACCCAATTAGTGTGTCTTCCTGCACATCAAAGGTCTTACTCTTTGAAGAGGAGACACTTCCTGTCCAGCTTGTCCACATCTTCTCTCAGCTTCGCAGGAAGTGAAGGCGAGACCATTACACTCGGTTGACGACATGTTTCCTGAGAGAAGTCTGCAAGAGTTTTAAATCTTCCACAAAGACACGTTATCCAGATGTTCACAGCTGTGACAGATGTACATTTATCCAGATGTTTAAAGCTGTGACAGAAGCACAATTATCCAGAAGTT